GTTTGCAACTTTTATGAGAACAATATTATGATAAGCAGAGAAACTTCTTATTTATGTCTATTGCAGTGGCCTTTATTCAGGGAGAAAGTCTCTAAACTAAGGAAAAATTCACTTTTAAGCATTTATAAAGATATTTTGCTAGAAAATGAACCTGAATTATAAAAGTATATATGTCTTGTTAGAGATTATGCTAACTTTCAGCGCTTCAAGGCAAGTTGCGAACGCAGTTTTTCTTGTATGAATTTACAAAAAAATATTTTGCAAACTTCATTAAATGACAATACCTTAGAAGATATTATGCGTATAAAGCTTGATGGCCAGTTAATTGAAGACTTTTTGCCCCAAAAATTGGATTGACGCAGTGGTTGGTATTAGACATTTGGAAGGCCATAAATTAAAAAGTTCTTGCGATTTTTAAATCCATTTATATAAATATAAAAATTAATATATATTTATAAATGAGATGTCATTTTTCGATTTATTTCTTTAGTTTTTTTTATTTTAATTTCTTTACGTTTATACGTATATTTTATGAGTAAATAAATTTAACAAACTAAATTAAAAAAAAAATTTGCATCGTTGAATAATAGTATACAATATTAAAAATCAATAATTTGCGTGCACTTTGCTAATGCATGAAAAATTGTTTTGAAAATATGACAATTGATTAAATTCAATAACCATCTTTCATATATCCAAAAGCTTATTAACTAGAATAAAAATTTATTAATATAAAACTTATATTCTTATATATTATTTGACACGTATCACTTAAATTAGACGTTCGTCAATAATTTAAGATACGAATATCAACGTCTGTGAAAAAAAAAACGATTTGTCGGGCCCTGAGGGTCATTTATTAAAACTGAATTAGTTGATAAGTATTTTGAATTAGCTGATAAGTATTTTGATAGTTGATGAGTAGTTGAATTATAGTTGATAGTTGATAAGTAGTTGAATTAGTTGATAAGTATTTTGGCTTCGACTTAACCACAAATAATATCTATATTCTTGTGAATATAGCCAGAAAATGAACTCACAACTATAAAAGTAATTTAGTGTATAGTAAATAACAAAATGTTACAATTTTTAAAAGTAATTTATAAAAAATATTGGATACATTAAATAACTCTTTCACTAGATTAGATTAAATAGAGTAGCTTTTTATTTACTTTAATTTTTAATGATTTTAGGTTTAATTGACAAAAAAAAAAAATCAAAATAATGTGAAAACTTACAAAACCAAAAATAGAAAGTGAAATTTTGTGATTTGATTTGACATGAAATGACTAAACTGCAAGTGGTGTGACTTGCATTTTTATGATAGATAACTCTAGCCTACGTTCTTGTCGTGTCTATAGTTAACAATGATTATTAAATTTCATTATTGATATTTAAATTTTTAATAATTTACTAAAAGCCAAGACAAATAACAAGTTTTTCTCAGGCAAGGTAGTTACAAGACTCCATTTACTATAAATATAGATACTTAGATGCATCTTGTAATGCTGTAAAAAAATTTTATACTAATTTCTATTATTTTAAATAGTATCAATTTAAACTTATTAAAACATCATTTAAAAACTTTTTAATTTTTTATTAGGTTGGAGAGACAGAGGTAGTAGCAAACACCCCTCACCCTCAGCCAATGTACAGGATTCGGAGGGAAACAAGAGCTTTAACCTCTTGCTTTTGCTCACACTCACTTAAAATGATTAATGGGAGAAATTTATAGCTCTCATAAAAGTATAATTTTTCTCTCAAAAGTAAAACTATCTTTGTAACTAAAATGAAAAACACCAAGTCATTTTTAAGAAAAAAAATAAAGTATTTGCGTAATAAACTGCAATGCTTTCTAAAAGGCACATTTATAGCAAAAAAATAATAATAATAATAATAAAAGGGCGCCAATATAAATGCTAATGTTTTTGATTAGATTGGACTATTAGATAAATATAAAATTATTATAGTCTAAATTATATTGATAAAATTAAAAAATTATTACACTTGATTATTGCATAATAATTTTTATTTTATGAAATAAATTACATATTTTATATATTAATTACTTTAATATATTATTCACATTTAATGTGGAATTTTTAATTTTTGTAATAATTCTTATAATGCCTGCATTCTATTACAATTAGAAAATATAAAATATTTTTTATAAGCAGTAAAAACTTTTATAGCTCTTTGTCAAACTTTTTATCAAATAAGTTGATGTTCATGAATAAATAACATAATAGCTAGTGTGAAAGCTTAAAGACAACTTTGTCTTTGGGCTTTAAAATAAAAAAATCTTTTTTAGGCAATAAATTACACTTATTATGTATATATTCTTGTAACATAAACATTACAAAAGTAAAATTAAAATTAAAATTTGCATTTAATTTTTTTAATGAATAAAGGAATAGCTCATGCAAAAACCAAAAGTTCTCGTAAGAAGCTGTTTAGAGGAACAGCTCGCATGACTTGCCATGTTCACTTTAGGAGAGCTTTTCTCTGCTCTTGCACTTATTTACTCCTACTGAGGCCTGAATGTATTGCATGTTGTCAAAAAATGAATTTCTTGACAATATGGATGGTGGTTTGGGACCTCCTCTAGCCCCCTACCAACACCTTTTTGCTTAAAACTATTAAAAATGTGTAGCCCATTCTTACACATTTCTTTTGATACTAAATTGTAAGGGTTTTAATAAGAATTGCAAAAGTTATAACAACTTATGTTGAGAAAAACTTAATTTTGACAGCAGTTTCTTCAACAAATCAATATATTAAAATTTTTGTAGAATTGTTTGATTTTTATAATTCTTTCATCAATTTTAGAGCTCTTTTCAGATTCACAACAATTTATGAATTATTTAATTTAAAAATTTGATGTAACATTCCTATTTTTGGAGATTTAGTTTACATATTTAATAAGGTGACCAACTATACTCACTTACTGAGTTTTATACTCTTTTTTCACAAACCGTACTCTTTTCAAATCCTGTACTCTGAAACTACTCATTTGTATAAATTTATACTCATTTGTATTTCTAAAACACTTTTTTAGATTATTTCATTTCAATTTTATTAATTAAATTTTAAAATTATTTTGACTGTGATTTGAATTTCACACGGGCATATTGCTTGCCGTTTCCAGCACATCGGAGGACAGGGCAAACACCAGACACGAGTTTGACAGTGATTTGAATTTTGTGCGCATATATGGCTGCCGTTTTCAGCACAATTAAGAGGCCATATTATGTATCTGGAGAGATAGATAGATACTACAGACCTCTTTTTCTAACAAAGTCAAAATTACATTTGTGAAAAGAGATTGATATATCTATCTCTTGGATATTTGTGTACGTAATCTGATCTTTGATGTGCAGTATGTACGGCATACTTGACAGTCTCATTTAGCAAAAAAACATCTTCATTTAGCAAAAAAATCCACTCCGAAGAAAAATATGTTTTGAACATAGATAAATAAATAAGTAATTTATATGTCTATGGTTTTTAAAGTTTTTATCATTTTTTCTTCTTTTTTTTTTTCACCTATGAAATACTTGCAAAATCTTTTTCAAAACTCTAAAAAATAGTTGGTCACCTTATATTTAATATACTTAAAAATATTTTACTTGCAAAATTTAGCAATAGTAACATTTTTGTTAAAACATTTGTGGTAAAAAAATAAGGTAATTTTACAGTTAAGTGGTCTAAAATAATTTTATTTTTTCACTTGTTGCGCTCTTCTGCCGAGACTTGCTCAAAGTGGTAATTTTTAAATATAAGCATAAGGAATATTTATTGGCTTCAGTACATACATCAATTATATTATAGCCTGCTGCTACAAGGGAGTGTTGCTACATCGGCTATCTTATGACCTACTGCTACAAGGAAGTACTGTTACATCGACTGAGAGTTTGGCATGGGGCAGCTATTTTTTTCCTTTTATTATTACACCTAAAATTCCTAATGTTTAAAAAGCCTCATCTGATGAGAGTGTAACAAGCAAAAAAAAAAATTATTTTAGGCCGCTTAACAGTAGAATTCTCAAAAATAAATGAGCTTTTCAACTATAAGTTATTAAATAAAAAATTTTTATATTGAATAAAAAAGTACTGCAAAACACGATATCATTTTTCAGTTTCATAACTTCACTTAAAACAAAATAAAAACTTTATATTTATTAGAAATTTGCAAATTTATAAGCAATTGTTTGAAAAATACTTTATTATAAAAAAATATCTTTTTTTATAATAAAGCTAGAACTTTGAGATTTTTTGCATTAATTAGTTTGACTTAACATTTTTTTAACCATATATAGAAAGTATTATGTTTAGCATAGCTTCTTTTATATATTATTCATGTCTTGTCTAAGACCACTTTTTTCTTTTATATATTATTCAGGTCATGTCTAAGACCACTATTGATAAAAAAACTTGCTGCAGGACACGTTTTTTCAAAAGTAGTTTTTGAAGATAAAATATCTTAAGTATCAAAACACATCAAATTTGTTTGAAAATTTCCATATAGATTAAAAAAAGGATAATGGCATTGGGAACTTTTTTTAAAATTTATTATAATTTCTAAGTTCTCAGCGTTTAAAAACTTTAAGGTCATTTTATTTAAAAAAAAAATTTTTTAAAGATTCCCTGTGAAAAATGCAAGTATAGCCTTTGCTCTGTTCAAATCGAGTATTTATTTATGTTTTCTTGAAGAAATGGTACTTTGGAATTTTCTTTAAAAATACACTGATTATTTCAAAAAATTAAATAACTTTGGATTCAATTAACTTCTAAAGTTAAAAAACCCCTCATTTTTTAAATCCTTTTAAGGTCTATACAACTATGCTAATCATATATAAATATGTTGACAAAAAATTCCTCTGGAATGGCTAACTATACATTAAAACATTAAAGAACTTTAAACACTCTAGTCATACAACGATTATTGATATAAAAAAGACAATTGATATAAAAAACAATGATTTTAACAATAAGACATACTGTCAATTCCGAACATAAGGCGGTCTTTTCCTCAATTTCAGCAAACTCTTGGTTTTTCTTGTGTCCTCTTTTTTTAATAACATTTTTAACATTTTTTTTTGAGTAATTACTCTTTTTACTCGAATCACGCTTTTTGTCCGCCATTATTTTTGTTTTTAACAAAAAGCTGTAAACAGAAAATGTTTAAATCGTTAGCGAGTCGTTAAAGCAAAAATTTTACGAGGATAAAACGAAATGATGTTAAAGCAAATTTTATATTTATTTTTTTGTCGAATGATCAGCTAGATTGCTTGATTACTAATCAAGCTATAGTTTCACTCTATTTGTAAGCTATAATATGTTTTCAAACTTCTCTTTTTATTTCTTCGTGAGGTCTGGAGAGGCATTTTTGGGGTCACTAAAGTAATATCCATCATTGTCAACAACAGTGAAGTTTGAAAAAAACAAATAATACTCGTCTTTCAAAATAAAACTATTTATAGAGAAAATGGAATTATAAAAATAACAATATAAAGTCAGTATATTGCTATAAAAAAGGTAAACACGTCGACAGTACCTAGTCTACTTCAAGTATGTCTTTCTGGTCCAGCCGAACGAATCAAGACGATAAATTCGAGAAGGTTAAAGGCTTCAATGGGGTATACATTTGTGAGGATAGAATGCCAAACCAGCAATTTGAGTTTACAGCACTTAACAAAGAAAAAAACAACGAACTAAAAAAACGAAGAAGCAAGGAACTAAAATCAGATAATCTTTTTGACAAACCTTTTCGTGATATTGTCTATCGCCAGCGCAATACATCGACGTAATCAAATTAATCGAAAAACAAAAAGCATTTTTACTACTCTTGAACAACGAAATAAAAGTGCTCATAAATCAAACAGTCAATAAATATGAACACCCCTGTTTCTGTTACTACAAAAGCCGCCAGCTCAACCAATACCTCCACAAACACCAGCACCACTTATAACCACTACCACACAAACACAATCCACAAATCCTCAGTTAATATCTTTGTTACCACAAATCCTCAGTCAATATCGTTATTGTTTGTTGTTACCACCAGCAGCATCACCAACACCGGGTGCTTACATTTTTAAACGCTTAACTCATTGCCGCAGAGATTTAGTTCAACAAGTTCTCTCAAACAGAACTGGGAGGCTATAATCTGCATTAATAATATAGACGCTCTTATGGAGGTGGTGTAGCTTTATACATAAGAAATAGTATTACTGCTAGTTAAGTAAAAATCAGTCAAGTAAACTCTAAAAATTTTGAACAAGTCTGGCGTTGTATTTTATTTAGTGAAAAAAATCAAAGGTGTCATCAAACAAGATTGGGTGCGCAACTATCCTAATTTATGCTGATTTTAATTTTGCACACACTAGATACAAAAAAGTAGATAATGGTGATAGAGTTACTACAGAGGGTCATGTTTCCGAGAACTGGCCAAACAATACAATTTTTTATGTACGCCCGGAAAATAAACACTAGTCACAATTAATAAATTTTCCGAAATACAGATAGCACGCCTAAAAATACTTTAGACTTGATTATGTGACGAGTCGGATTGTTTTATCAACATCAAAGAAGAAGCAACATATTAGGAAATTATTAGTGACTTATTGTGATAATATTATATTAGTCTGTTTCATATAATTATATGTTTACATATATATATATATATATATATATATATATATATATATATATATATATATATATATATATATATATATATATATATATATATATATATATATACTATAGCATATTTATATGCGCACTTGCTCACTTTTTTTGCTCATCTAAATAGATATAGGCTTTTAAGAAAATGAAGAGGAAAACGAAGAATAATGAATGAAACGGTTGATGCCCCATCCCAAAACCCTTAGGCTATGTAGCAGCACTCCAATGCGAGTCTGGCTATTTGTCAGTCGATTTATGCACTAAAACTTCCCAAAATCTCATAAATTCCATAAACTGTTTAACCCTAACAATCTGAAGATTAGCTATAGCTATCTTCCATATACTCACAACATCATTACTTCACATAACAAAAAAACTTTATCAAAATCTTCAAACCTTAATGCTCCAACGTGCAATTGCCGACAGATTAATTCATGTCCACTTAACGAAAAATGTTTAATTAAAAATGTCATCTATTAATGTAATGTGAAGACAAACCCGCAAGATAAAGGTAGCTATTATATTGGGCTTACAGAAAAAACTTTTAAAGATCGCTTTTACAAGCATAAAAACTTCTTTCGTTATAAAAGTGAGTCAAACTCTACCGAACTTTCTAAATTTGTGTGGAGTGTTAAAAAGAAAGGTTTAAATCCTGTCCTTTCGTGGATAATTTTAGACCAGGTTAAACCGTTTAAACCTGGTGGTAAGTCATGCAATTTATGCTTGATGGAAAAGTATCATATAACTTCATCCCCATTGCCTTTACTAAATAAGCAAAACGAACTTGTGTCTAAGTGTCGCCATGAAAATA